ATCATTTTCATTTAATTTCATATTCATTGTTAAATGAAATAATTTCATTATTATATGATCACTCTTAAAATATTTTATCAATGATCTTTCTATATGATTTCTACACAAAAATAGTTTAGAATAATGAAATATTTGTTTCAAATCATTATATTGAGCAATACAACTATCACAAACAATGATTTCATGTCCATAATTTAAAATATTATAAAGTTGATGAAAAAATAGTTTATATGAAATTTCAGATTGATCAAATAAATATCGAAATGAAAGAAGTTGGTTAAAAGAATTATCATCTTTTACAATAACAACATATAAATTTTTATTATATATATTTGTTTTAGCAGTATCATCAACATACCATTTTCTTTTACTATATTCCATTTGATTCACTTTGTTATGAATGAATAATATCGAATGAATATAACCATTAGTGAAAGTATTTGTTAATTTAATAAATGAATCATTTTCAAAAAATGAATCTGAAAGAAATATATTTTCAAATATTTGATTTCTATCTTCTTCTCTCTGAATTTGTCTAAATTTTCTAAGGTGAATTTGAATATGAGGATGATTTACAAGAAATTTTATTATTTCATTATTAGTTTTTTGAATTAAATGTTTCTCAGATTTTAACAAAGTACAAATTTTTGATACAACAAAGAAATAATCTAATGGATGTTTATGTTCATTAATTTCTAATACTCTATTTACTTTATCAAACCCTAATATTACAATTAATTTATATTCACAATCTCTTCATTTACATGTTTCTTTTGTTTTTCCTGAATGATTACAATAGAATACAATTTTTATATTATTTTTATTTATTTTTGTAGATTTTGTATGAATAAGAAGAAATAAAATTATTGTTAATTTCCTAATAGTAGTAATAACATCATTTTTAATGTTTGAATCATGAATTTTAATATCAATGTGAATATAGTTCTTAAATATTTCAATTCTTTTTTCATATTCTATTTCTTTTAGAACCATCAATTCTGATGCAAACATTTCTTTTTGTATAATTCTTAATTTTACTTGTTCATACCAATTTATTGATTTACAAACATTCATCATCATTTCTATAATTCTTCTTAACAAACCATTTAATTTATTCAAATCAATAATTATTGATTCAATATTTT